TAGAAATGTATATTTGGTATGTATACCATACTGTATGAATATGTATATAGCTGTGCTGTGTATACATATGTATGTATTTTCATTGATACTCAGGCCTACAAGTACAAGGATTCAAACATTCATGTGATAGGTAGAAAGTTTATACATTATGATACGCACATAATTAAAAATTCTGTAAATAATATACCATTCGCGAGGCAGTGGCAACCACAGTGGAGGCATTATGTATGGCCGGCATTAGACGCTCTTGTATATCGCATAGCAAAAAGAAGGCATTACTAGTGCTCAGACGTGACCTTGCCATATTTTCTTAGTGATCGGTTCCAACTTTTCAAAATTTTAAAGGGCCAGTCGTATCAACTATGAAATACCTCACACGGTGCTGAGTAGACAAGGTGTTTGTAATTTGTAATTTGTATACTTTCAAGAGATATATCTAATATGTTTACATATATACGTGTTCATCACGTATGTATAACCTCAACTTTGTATGCGTGTTTGTATTATTTTTATTTCTATGTCATATTCGATATCTGTCGGAATTCAGCCAATCAGAATCCTAACGGCTTTGTATACTCTCTCTCTCACTCTATTGAGTCTATCGTGTAGACAGTATACACGGCCCAGCCGCTCAGCCGACAGCCGCTATTTAAAATTGTAACAAATATTATACTTTGTAGCTGCACGAATGGCTGACGAGGAAGCGACCTTACGTGCCATCTTTGGCCACCACAAAAGAGTGTCAGACTTGATTTGACCTAAACTAGCTGGTAAACGACGTGTTTCAAACGTGTCGTTATTCGCACAAGCTTTGCAAGGTTATGCTGCATAGCCGGTACTGGTAGTCAGTAGTCACCCCTCCGTTTGATTAAAAAAGTTGTAATATACGACAATCTCATTGAGACAGCTACGTGCAAATGTAGTCTCATCTCTCATGTGACACTTGAAATCGCAAGAGAGTCCTATGCTACGGAAGATAGCCCGATGTAAATATGTAATAAAAAAGTGTATGTTCCGCTAACAACCAAGCTGGTGAAGCAGTAGAACGCTTGCCACTAGCCTTCTATTCAGCAATATGGGACTCTCCCTTATGCGCCGATTACCCGCCAAGGTGCGTGAGAGGTCAATTCTCGAAAACACCGCACCACTTCACAGGTTTCACACGGTTACAGGTGTATCTAGGAATACAGTCAGCATGCGAAATAGGAGTATAACAAACCTCTCCAAATGCACGGTCAATAGGTACATGCACACACAGATACCATCTCTCGGGAGTTGTGCAAGTTTGAGTCGCAAACTGGGCCCTTTAGGTACACATCTGCACCATCCAAATACAAGCGTACTTCAGAATGCACTGGTCAGCAGTGTGTGTGTGACAGGTGCAATGCATAAAAGCTATTATAATTCGAGTGCAGCGCGGCAAAGGCATAACGTGCAAGTTGAAAAGAAGTGGAACCAGGCTATCAAATCTGGCAGGGGTTTGGTGCATACCCCTACATCACTGGTGACGTTCAAGGTTTGTGCAGTATTGAATCCTATACCAAGTTTGGAACTACATGTAGGGTTTACACAAGTTATTTGTATACATACGAGGTGTGTATTATCCCGTTGTGTATGCTGTTTCCTACAATTTAATTCACATATAGGTCTCGCAACCCTATATGCTAAGCGTTGATTTACTAAGGATGCCCAGCACAGAATATAATACATTAATACGATGCTAAACCGCTTGTATATAATTGTATTTGTATACCTGCGCCTAGGTACGCAGTTCATAATCTTATGTATTTGCCTTTTTATTAAACCTCACTAAAGTTAGTACCACAGTAATACAAAAATTGTGTGCATAGACGTATATACAAGTTCATATTTTTCTAGACTATCACGCCACTATATATATAAAATATATGTATGTATGTATATATATATATATATATATTAATGGTATATATGTATTTGTGTGATTATGTATATATATATATATTGTGTGTGTGTGTGTGTGTATAAATATCGTTGCTCATAGACATATTTATATTTACGTTATGTATGAGTATGCACATATGTAAACTGGGATATGTTTTGCGTGTGTTTGTTATATAATTTTAGATACATACAGTTCTACATCTTATATGTTTATGGTAGTAATATTCATTATATGTATGTAAGTGTATATAAATATAAGTGTGTATATTATATATTTATATATATATATATATGCGTGTGTGTGTGTGTGTGCGTATGTATGTATATATTATGCATATATATATATATATATATATATATATATATATGCATGTGTGTATGTATGTATGTATGTACATATATATATATATATATATATATATATATATCCTTCATCGTATTTCTGTCAAAGAGTACCACGCGTTATAATTGTTGACTTATTGCATTTGATATATGACTCTGAAATCACTTGTAGTTCTATTTTCCAATTTAACTTTCTTCATACACAAGTGTTCTCAATTTCGTACTCTCGACCTCTGCTTTCACTGCAGATGTTAACACAATGGAGGGCTCATCGGACCGCATTGCAGTATATGATGCACCTGATGTGGGCAGGACACCCGCTATACTATACACTCAAGGATTGGTATGTTTATCTCATTGTATCTGTGTATCTTGCTCTCGTTGATTAGTATATTTGTGCCATGATATGGAAGGTATTTTGTGAACTACACTTTCCACACAGTGAAGTCTCGGTACTTCGTTTTGAGGGAGCGGTATGTATTACCAATAGTACCTATGCGGTATTATGCACTGCACTCTCGACTATTATCATCTATCTTCAAAGTTCAAACTTACTGAACCTTCATATATATATATATATATATATATGTATATGTATATATATATATATATATATATGACATATATATATATAGTATATATATATATATATATGTGTGTGTGTTGTTGTT